TGGTCTTTAAATTTATGGAAATGCTATTATAAATATTAGAAAAAACTGACTCCACAGGCTCTTGCAGCCTTTTCACTGTAAAATGATTTATTTCTAAACTTCTCATCTCTTCGCTTATTTATTTGGTTACCCCTCACAGAAGGGAGCTCCCAAGATCTTAGATGGCCTGTCCTTTGATGCTCCCAAGAACCTTTCCAGAATCACTAGGGTTCACCAACTTTTGGATCTTTGATGTGAGGTCCTATGAGCAAAGCTTCATTTTGGGCTGAATTGAGTGCTTTTGGAGAATATATGTCCAATTGTGATGAGAAGAACCAGCACTTCTGAGGGCCATTATGTTGCACCCATTGAGAAATTATTTTCTTGCAAACCTTTGCAGATCTCCAAGCTGACACAGAAAAGTTCATGCCTTAGAGCTTTCCAGGGTTTAAGCACAGAATTCTCTACTTTCAAAGAGCCAGGGCAGACATTGTTTGGATTTCATTAGAAACTCATCAGACATGCTGGATCTGAAATAACTGCTGCCCATGGCCAGCTGGAAAATACCCACTTGCTGCAAGGAAACTCTAGCCTACTAATTATCCTAAAAATTCATGTAGGAACTTTCTTGACCCATTTTTTTCCCTGTTCCTTTTTTCCCCTTGCAGACATGGATCAATTGCTTTCTTATAAAAATTTAGCTGATTTCAATGTCATCTATTGAGAGGTTTAATCATCAAAAAATGTACAGTGCTAAGTCATGTAGCATAGCTGCCACAAATTAGTAATAAATAATATACTGTGAGCCTTTATGGCAGGGAGAAACATATGAGTTTTGAAAAAAACCCCAAACCCAAGAGGCAACTAAATTATTCCTTATTTTTAAATCTGAACACTAGTCAAACATTTAGAATATGAAATATTCAGTTTAGCTATATTATTCACTATTTCTCATTTTAACATGCATCTGCACTTTTGGTTTCCAGCTAGGACAGAAACCAAGAGAAGCCAAAATACCTAGACAGGAATAGATAAAAGCCAAAATACCGAGACTGGAAGAGACAAAGGCCAAAATATTAGCCAGAAACAGGAAGTATTGGACATCTTACAAGACAACCTCCATATTTTTGTGAGATCTCCAGCCAGGGGTGCTGACTGAATAGATTCAAATTATTTGGACAAGCTTTGAGTAATTATCTAAATCTTCAGGTATTTAGCTGAAGCACACTTAAAATCTGAGTCTCTCTCAATTTGCCTGTCACTTGAATAAATGACCATTTCACAGATAATAAGGTAACTTGGAGTGGGAAAAAAACCCAGCTAAGATATTAAAGAATGGCTTCACAGTAGATGTTTCTATCTGCTTTCTAGGGCATTAGGGAAAACAGGTTTTTGCAAATAGCGATTGATTCATTAATTGTTATAGTTGTACATTTAGTGTTTGGACTTGATTTTCTTTTGCTTGGAGCTGTTGATCTGAAAGAAGCAACAAAAAGGATTCCAAGCCAGTTCAGCAGACAAGATTAGCCAAAGGGCTGATGGGTTTCCTCCTGCTCTCACCGTCACATCTGACCAGCGCACAGAGCAGCACAACACACCACACTGTAGCATATACTCACTTGATGCTCTTAATTCGCTGCCTGTACAGAATGTAACATTGGATCCCAACCTGGATCCCTGTCTGGTATCTTATTCTTGGGATTATTACTATTACTAGTACTGTTATTATTATTAATAGCATTAGTGCTATTATATTTGCTAACAGTTGCCTTGTAAAGAGAAGCCTTGCTGTGTTCCTGATCTTTGCAGTCTTTCAGTATATAAAGGGGGCTTATATAAAAGAAGGAGAGCAACTTTTTACCCAGGCAGATAATGATAGAACAAGAGGGACAGTTTTAAACTAAAAGAGGAGAGATTTAGATTAGATATTAGGAAAAAATTGTTGCCTGTGAAGGTTGTGAGGCACTGGAACTGGTTGGTCAGAGAAGTTGTGGATGCCCCATCCCTGGAAGGGGATTCAAGGCCAGGCTGGCTGGAGCTTTGAACAACCAGATGCAGTGAAAGGTGTCCCTGCCCATGGCAGGGGGTTACAACGAAATGATCTCTAAATCCTATGATTTTTTGATCCTATGATTATCCTCTTATCCAGATGGCACCTCTCCCTAGATCTGCAATGGGCATAATGTAAATACTACTACCACTGTAAAAATTGTCTTAAGAGAAGAAATTACATTGGCAAAATGAACTTTTAAGTTTGTTGAATTTCTCATAATTTAAATATTTTCACTGCATGTGGAGAGAATCACATTTTGAAATTAATTTTTCCACTGGCTTTCTCACCAGGAAAGGGACATATAAAGGGACAAAAAACACTGGCTTGTGTTTGCTGTATTCTGATAAAATACAGGAATGTTATAAACTTTACTTAGCTTAGCATCCATCAACCCTTGCTTTCTCCACTCTTTGAAAGTTTTATTGTAATGAAATGTAGTAAATGTCATTATAATGGGACAATGTTGATAAGATGATCATTTATTGAAAAAGAGTTTTAAAAAAACTCAGCTTCTCCAGTAAATAAAAATCTTTAGATAACATACCAGTTCAAATGACAAAAATAAACATACTGAAATCTTTGTAGTAACAACATAATCAGCTTGAGAACATGTTTGGAATGGACATGGGGAATAAGAGGTCAAAGGAAACAGCTGGTGGAGTGGTTTTCCTCAAAAAAAATTCTGCTGTTTCTGCTACAAAACTCACTTATTTCCTTGGTGTATCCTTGATTCACAAGTAAGAGATGGTAAAGATATTCTTTGATTTGAGTCAGGCTAGCACTAAATCTTATTTACAGGTCAGTCACTTGTCATGCTGAAATTTTGTGATATGAAAAAAGCAAGTTTTGGTTTTGAACTTGAAAAATCTCAGAGTGATTGCAGAGGCTTCATGAAGAGACAGACACAGTACAAATAAGCCATACAAACTGATTCATGAAGAACATCATGAGAGGCACTCTGTTTTGCATAGCCCAGGAGAAGAGACTGAACAAAACAGTTATTTTGTAGGTTGAAGGTAGGAACAACACAGAAGCAATATTCAAATACAGGATAGCCTCCTGTAAAGAGAATGAGAACTGAAATGTTTGCATACTGAAAGTGAGAAATAATGTACTTCTGGTGTAGCAGCAGAGATGCTCACTTAAAGTTATGAAAAGGCACTTCAGTGTGAGGACAGAGCAGATGTGTGACAGACTGCCTGTTGACACTTGTTACTGAAGATTTTTGAAAATAGTTTAGACAAAGTCATCTCAGAAATTATGAGCATACCTGACTCTATCTTTTCTGGTGGCAAACACATTCTTCAGTAAGAATGCTCTTTGTTCACTGTGACAAGAGATACAGACCAAGAGCAGTCGAACTGTGTCCTGAGCGTTTCTTTATAAACACTTAATTCTCCTATCACAATTGTAAAGTTTGAACCAAACCAAGAGTTTACAGTTTGATAAGACTGTTTGACAACAGCCAAGTGTCAATTAGGAGCCTGCAGCTAAGCATGGAAGGCACATCTAGGTTGATCTGCTCAGGAGGAATGTGTCTTCCATCACTCTGAAACTGGTTTGTTTCTGGAAGCAAGTTTCTCTTCCATCGGTTTCTTAACCTCTACTTGTAACTCTGAATGGTTTCATTACCCAGGCAAATAGCCTTTCATAATCTTAGGAACTTCTGGCCTCCGTGGTGATGTGTTTCCTAGGAGGAAACACTAATTTAAAAAGTGTTTGCTTATTTAGTTTTACATTTGGTCCTTTTCAATCAAGTTCATCACTGCATCAAGTCGTCCATGGCTCCCTTTTAGCATTAAAAGAGAGTTAAAAAGAAGCTCTAAGTCAGTCTCTAAATTCATGATGCTGTACTTTTCCATTTTGTATTTCTTTGACATTTCAGCTGGATTGTTTTTTTCTTGTTCAGAAGAAGACAAAACTGTTTTCACATTTCTGTAGAACTAATGGAAGTCCAGTCAATCTGCCCAGTGAACTACTTTGAAGTCAGGTATGGGGCTAATGCTTCTGTGTATTACTAATTCCTGACCTAGGAAGACTTCTAAGGAGTCTATCAGGGGCTGAGCCTGCAAGTTTTAACTCTCTTTCCTCAAAGCAGTATGGCCAAAAATAATGAATTAATTTCGGTAATAAAATTAGTGATGTGATTGATATGCTTAGTATATAAACCAAGGAAACATTAATCTGAAATTGTGAGGCTATATTGACTTACACGGGTTTTACAGACAATGATGATAGAGAAAATGTAACAGAAATCCACACTGCAGAGCAGAAACAGGCTTATTTGCTTTAGAATTAGGAAAGTTTTCAGTCCGCATTTCAGTGTAGATATGAATTAAATAATTGATGTGTATTTCAAGATTAAACCTTCAAGTTCCTCTCTAGAGCGGTTCTTTACAAGACATTTGAGACTGCTAAGTTTCAGTGGAAGAGTCTAAATACACATATATGTAAATTGAATTAAAAAACCACACTATTGATTTCAGATCCTCAGGCAAGAATATGGAAGCAACTACACTCTGTTTTTTCAAGTTAACAGTAATATCATCTTCTGGCTTACATGACTCTCTCCCATGTTGAAAGTTTAAAAGCCAAATATATATTTTGGAAATGTGATGGATTCATACCAGCCACAAATTATGACAAACATCCTCCACCTTGCTGAACATATACAGTCCAACACATTAGTGGGATTTGAGATGGAGCTAAATATGGAATCTTAGCAACATATGCTCACTTGAGGAAACTGCTCTCCAAATCTAAATGCAGAATTTAGTCAGATTCTTTTGGCCTTTGCTTTTATTGGACAAAACCAAACCAGAAAAAAAAAAAAAAACCCAAACAAAACACCTTTGCATATTTCTTTGTATGGAAAATGTAACATTACTTATACTTTGAAATAACACCACTGCAGTAAAAATCTGGGAGTAAACTGTGTTTCTGTTTCCAGTCAGAAAATATGGTTCCATTTTATTTGTTTTTTACAGTGGCCTCTCATGCTAAGTCTCCATGTGATCATGACATTTCCTCCCCAATGAGAGAGAGACCAGAAATCCAAGCGATCACACAGAGAATTTGTGTGTCTTGGCAGCTGTGATCCGAATGTGAATACATGTTCTGCTCACGCCAAGGTCCAATTTGCTGAGAGTTTGCACTGAGGGCCTGAGACACACTGGGACCCTTCGAAGAACTCCTAAGTGAATCCTTAATCATGATGTGTCCACTGGAAGAAAAGCAGACTGTGCACCTAGAAAATTCAGTTTCGACTGCCAGATAGCTAACTTCCCACAGCTCTTTCTGTTCTCCAAAAATCAGCAGCGACTTTGAACAGCTGACAGCGCTTTCAGTGGTACATCTGGAGAAGCAAAAACACCACAAAACATCTGTTTTTGTTGTTGAATAAAAATAAACAGTACAGAGCTGAAAGCTGAGCGGAGAAAAGCTTTTCGGATACAGTGAACGTTTTGTTTATTGCACAACCCCGCTCATAGGAGCCGATCTCGTGCTGGTGGGTGGATCAGAGCGCTGCTGCTACGTGCTGGAAAGGCACGACTATCACTGAGGGGGCCCTGCCAGTTCTCAGGGAGACATCCATGAAGAGGTAGGAATGAGATTCGGGGAGGCACAGCAGTTGTGAGTGTTTGGGCACCCAGGGGGTTGCTGCGCATGAACCCAGGGAAGGCTCACCTCGACCCATCCCTACTGCAAACCACAGAAAGGCAGAGCAGGGTCACCACAGGCAGCAGAGTGGTAGAGCAGTAGAGCTTCTGTCCTTGGTGGCTTATGGGGAAAGATGAACACCATGTGGGCATTCGTGCTGTTCCAGAGGAGCTTTTCCATCCACTCATCCCTCTACCTCAGTTTCACTTCCATAAGCATCATCACCTATGAAGTTTTCAAGAAAAGCTGGTAAGAGATGCTGTAATATTGCTCCTGAGATCTTGGTGTTTAGAAGATTCCCTGGAAATTTTCAGGGCAAGCTGCAGTTTCTGGGAAGGTATGAACTGACCTCCTACCACTCCCAAAGAGGTGTCCCCAAACCTGTGCTGATGTTGACCTTGTCACTGATCGCAACCCCAATTAAACAAGAGTGATTCCTGACCTCAGAGGTGTCATTCTATACCTAAAGCACTGTAGTTCAGTTCTGTGAGAAGTTCAGTATCTATCAATTATTCCCATGAAGGATACCATTGTGAGGTAATAGATCTTGTGCTTGGACACAGTTCCAAGTAATGTGTTTTAGGGGACTCTGCTTGAGCAGGGATGTTGGACTAGATGAACCCCAGTGGTCCCTCCCAACCTTCTGTGATACCTATTTATGTGCCAGAAATGACTTCTAAGCAATCAATTTAATTTTTCATTCATAATTGCTCTAAAATGTCTTAATTTATAATGAAAATGACTGGGATCTTGCCAGTCCAGAATGAGACTTAATTACACTTGAGTTGAACTGGAGATATGAATTATTTAGAGACAACAGTACTGAAAATAGGAGGCCAATTAATTACTGATACGCTACACCCTGAAGGTGCTAGATTTGTGGATCCTTCTTTTTTCTTAGAAGGGATGTGAATTCATTGTCTACAGGACCCCTAGGAAGCACAGAAAATACAATACCCGTTGTAAAACACTCTCTGAGGAATAAGTTCCACAAAAATTCTGCCCTTTTTTCATTGGACCATCTAATGGATGAGACAAGAAGAGGTTTTTTTCTCATTTATCATAGGTCACTGAAAGCAGCCATGGGGTTTAGCTCAGTAATCTAACTATAACATTGGATTGGAAGTGGTAGAAGGTACTTTTGTTTTGGATTCAGAAGAAAAGTTTTAGATTGTGCTTCTGCCACTTATACGAAATCTGGCTAGATATTCAAAATTTTGAAAATTCTTCTGAAAAATGTTCATCAATTCTTGTATGGTTTGTTTCTTTTTAATTTTTTTTTTCTCTCAATTTTCCCAGTGTTTGTTGTGGTGTTTGAATTAGATTGTTCCAAAGTACAATTAAAAAACTATTTTGTAAGTAATAGGGCATTTTGAAAAGTTTTAGTAAAAAGGTTTTTCTCAACTTTTTCTGAAGTGAAAATTCATTAAACCTGACTCCTCCCCTTCTTTCAACTCCAATTTTTGTCAACCTGTCAATGTTTTTTTTAAGTGAAACAATCCCCATGGCTTTTTATGTGGCGCAAAATATCAGTGTTTTCCACTGAAGATATTTTTCACTGACTACACAGACTGGAAAGATTGTTTTTTGCAGTGTCAAAGGAAATAGATTGAGAAAAATGAGAGCTGTGCTTGGGAAAAATGAAATCAACTAAGAAGAGCCTACAAAGCCATAGATATGAGTCCAATAGTGCAATAGACTTCCTTCAACATCTTCAGTTGCTGTGCTCAATACGTAAGTCCCCTGACCAAGAGAAACAGAGAGAAATTGCAGTGACACCAATTGAGCCAAAGTGGAAAACTAACTAAAAAAATAGAGGGCTCTTGGGCAAGATAAGAGTACCAAGACCATTGGCACAAAACAGACTAAAACACAGGAAACCTGCAGGAAACCCTACTTTCATTGTGGTGACAAAGAACTTTTGTTTATGTATCTCTATCTTCTCAACCATTTCTCACTTTATATTGCCAGTAGTGTAGATGGCACAAGGCTGCAGCAGCACAAGCCCAGCCTTTGCAGTGCTTTTCACACTAAGTATTTAATGTTTTTTTTTACCTTCCCAGGTAGATAAAAATCACTTTTTAAAAAATGCCTAAGCCAGTGTTGATGTTACTGATGAGCAGAGGCAACCTGAGCGTGAGTTGAGGTTTATCTGAACATATGGTGGCCACCTCTCTCCCCGGAGAAGCAACCCTGGCACCGGGGTGACGAGAGCAGCAGGACATGCAGGACCTTGCACTGGTGCTTTAACATCTCACAGATCCCACCTATCTACCCTAGGCATCCCATCAACACAGCAGTCACCTCTACTGCAGAACAGAAAATGTGGTATTTGTCCAAATTTAATCTTCTTCACCAGAACGCAGCCTGGAAGGCCTGAGGCTGTGCCTACACTGCATTCACATACTTCCTACTCCATAGGAGTGACCTTGCACCAGCAGCAGGGAGAGCAAAATGACAGATCATCAAAAAAATGAAGTGATTTTTTAATTTTAAAAGTGAGTTTAACACAATGGGAATTTGTCATTAGAGATAATATGCATCAGAATCTAAATAGAATTTTGCTCTTTTGATTATTGTCTTGATCTTGTTTGGTTTCCAAGTAGCACTACTGTAATGCATCTGCATCTCTGTGCAACATTGCAGTCACATTTTTCTATGGTTCTACCTAACATTACAGTTACTTTTAACAGGAGTGAAGAGAAGGATTTACTCTTTCTGACTATCCTGATCAGTTGTCTGGTGAAGAACGGCCCAAGCTCACAGCAATGAGGGACGATGACAGAGCACCTGCTCTGCGTCTCAGAGCAGCAACAGTGGGTGCTGAGGTTTGTTCCCCTGCAAACACACCCTTTGCAATGCCAGCCAGCCCCTTTCTCAGCCAACTGAACAGTGCATCCTTTTGGGAGAATAGAAAAATGAGCTTTGCTGTGAATGTAGAGTCAATATTACTCAGGGAAGCAGGTCGTAGGGCTGAGCTGCAGCTGACTGAGAGATGTGTAGAGCTAAGAAGATGCTGTCTTAATTCATTGGTTTAAGTGGCAGCTTTTGAAGAAAAGACAATGGTAAAAAAAGAGAAGTGACTGAGGTGACACAGAACCTGGGAGAATTATGTGTCTAAGTGGTCTTGAGACAATTTTTATAACTTAGTTCAGTCTTGGAAGGGTCCCAGCTTCTACGAGCTGCTGATTCAGAATAGAAGATGGCTGATCTTTTTCTCCAGCAAAGTAAATAAATAGAGCTTTAGAAAGGCAGAAAAAAAAAAAGCTCCCTTCTGCTTTCCAGCACTTCTGCAGGGCTCCTGGGGTTGTGGGGATGTTAATTCAAATGACTGAGAAAACATGATCCAGTTCACTGATAGGTTTTAAAAACAGAAGTTTTTAATGCAATGGAAACAAAGGCTGACATGAAAGATTCAAAATAGAAGAGAACAGCTTCTTCTTAAATCAGTATAAATTGTCTGTGTGTCATGGCAGCGAACATGTTTCTTCTTTTTTTTTTTCTTTCAGGAACTACGTAACCACAGAGTTCCTGTTTACTGTATTTCTTAAGGATAAAGTTTTCTGCGGTAAGAGACACCTAAGACCATTAGGCACGCACACTACAGATCTAAAGAAAGTCTATTTACCAGAGCTTCCAGGAAAAATATTGACAGGGCAGTAAAAATACTTTCCTTGATTACTCAGGCTCATATTTTAAACCTAAAATTACAGGAACTTTTCTCTTTTACCAATTTATTTTTAGCATCTTTATTTTTTTCTTTTTTTTTTCCTACTTTTTTTTGCTTACCTTTTAAAGCATGGCGAGTTTCCATTGGTTTTGCAAAACAGGGTCAAATCTGGTAAATGCTTCTGATAGTCCTCATCCTTTTTTTTCAGTATTTTCACTAAGTCAGTAGGAAATGATCAATAGAAGGTAAATTTACCTTTCTTCAGTAACTGACAGATGAAGCTACAGTGTATTTCAAAGAACATGGCCTCTCTTTCAATCTATTTTTAATAACATGTGGGTAGTGATACCTAGGTAATGAAACTAAGCTGTCTACATATTTATGTAGGGCATATTACAGCAAATCTGAACACCAAGCAAACAGCTATGAATTATCCTGGAAACTCCTCAGAAAGAAAAATATTTCCTTCTCAAGCTATCAAGGTACACAGATAAGTTGAAATTAATGTCAGGCTCTTTGCATTTTATGGACCTGGGATCCCTCAGTCTGAGATAGGAGGTGAACTCCAAATTTCTGGAAGTGTTTTTCACTGCAGAAGGAGGCAAACACATGGAGTTCTCCTCTGGCACACAAGTGCAGATATCGAAGGTCAGCACTTCAGGTGTGGTTCTGCTCAGCCCCAGCACTTCAGAGTTTCAGGGCCCTGAGACATGAGAGGGAAAATGGGCCTGATTTGTTCATCAGCAGTCTTCAAGCCTTACGATTTGCCTCGCAGGCAAGCAATTTCCCTGCTCTCATACTGATACAATAGAGAACTTTAAAAAAGATGACAGTGTTTCCTAGCAGGCAGCAAAGAAGCGTATACATTGCAGGGTGAAGCAGAGCAGTTCTTGAAGTCCACCAGGAGGAAAACTATTTATTTCAAAGTGAGCGAGGATTGTTTGATTAGTTTTGGCTCTATCCTTTCAGCACTCTCTGCAAGCCTTGCTGATGGAACTGTCTGCAGTTAGACTTCCAATTTGCATCCACCCTTTTCTGTTCCCAGGAAAGTGGCCTATAAACTGCTTTAATCAGATAAAGTTTTGGCATCTTGTTCAGAATGGGAACTTTCAAACTTTGCAAGCATGAATTCCTTAATTCAGCCTTCATGCAGAAAGATAACACAGCAAGGAAACTGCCATTAATTTTGGATGCTCATCCTATTTATAGACAGAGAATTTGTCAAAAACCAGTATTGCTGCTGCTGGAACAGTGAATATATTTCTTTAAATCAGTCCCTTTTTAGTATTTCAGAATGTCATGGATTAGATAAGGGTTGCGTGTTCTTACGAGGGAAAGAACATATCTGGACAGCAACTTAAAGAAAACAGAGATGAGCAGGGGAGTGAGGAAACGAAAAGGATAAAGAGTTTTATCACATAATCAAAGCTTAAAGACAAATCATAGGAAAATGTTATCTACAGAAGGGATTAGCTCATTCTGGAAGGACAGAGAATAAAAAATTAAGTGTATGTCTGTTTTGGTCCAAGGATGTGTATATTTGCTATGATTATCCAGAAGCTGCCATTGCCAAGCAGCACCAATTCATGGTGCCTTTTTAGTCTCTTGCTCATGTTCTATGAAACACAGCTGAGCTTTTCTGTCCTTTACTGGAGGCATTTGTTCTAGTATATATATATATATATATATACATATATATTTGCACATATGCATCTATGCACTCATTATCTGAATCCCACAATATGTTTTGTGGACTGCTGGAGGGGTTGTATCTTTTTTGCTGTTCCCTATGACTGTAAGGACTGGATTGGA